AAAAACCCTTCCCCCCCCCCCCCCCCCCCCCCCACTTCCTAGATAGACACAGCCCCCCAGCTTGGGACTTTGGGTTTTGGTAACAACAAAAGGAGGCATGAGGTAGGTGGTTGCTGCTGTCTGGCTCTCCTGTTTGTCAGATGCTGTGACTTCAGGTGTCACACAGGCTCTTGAGAGGTAGAAAAGCTTCATTAAACTGGCAGCTGCTAAAGCACTGGCTTTGAAGCAAGAGGAATGCTGATCGCTCCTCCTGCCACTCAAGGGTTCACAAAAGGTGCCTGGTTGTCTAGACCACAACCACGGAAAAAATACAAATAAAGACGTCAGACCAAAGAGAGACACTGATCTTTCTAGAGACTTAAGGAAGCTCCTGGGGTTGTAGCCAAGGGGCTGAGGTAGTGGCAGAATTTATCTAGTGTGAAATAATGGCTTGTTGCACTACAGCTCTGCATGTGCCTTAGATTTGCTTTCTCCACAAATTCTGTGCGTGTGCTCCAGCTGCAGAGAAATGTTTGCCCCCATCCTTACTCACCTCTTTCTCCCCTTTTATTACTTGGAAATTAAATTCAAGATGGCTCTTAAAGAGACAGTTGATTTTTAAAATATATCCATGGATGAGATCCTTGGCTGGCTTCAATCAAAGTCTGTCCTCTGAGGTTAATGCAGCTTTGCTGATTAACATGACTCAGGATCTGGTCACATGCATTTAGAGAGAGAGAGAGAAGGTAAAAAAACAAAACACATTTCCTGGTTTTTGTTACCATCTGCCCAAGACTATTGGAACAGGAGGAATGTTTTCAATCTAATTTATTAGTCACCGTGTTATTGTATGGTTTCTGAATGTCATTCAGCATGGACAACTAAAATGCATTAGTTGCTTTCACATTTGTTTTCCAATTAGCTGCACCCTCTAGGATTTAGGTGCTTTCATAGTTTTTCAGAATATGGGTTACAAAGGGATACAAATCCAAAATACAAACAATAAACAATATATTTTCATTACTATTACAGATGAAAAATTCATGAAGACATTTCTATTACCACTAGGATTTTCAAAGCCCAATGACTCAAGAATCTAAAAATTCTGAATTTAGATCTAACAGAGCCCATTGCAAAAGGGCCCTACCAAATCCATTGCATTTGAAGTGATACAACTATTGATCATGTATAAAGTATGTTTCAGTAAAGAAGGGGGGGGGGGGGGGGAAAAAGAGTCAGCCAAATCCTGCAGCTACACAACAGACAAGTTTATTATATTCCACGGGACTTGTCAGGTAAGTAAACATACTTGAGGACAGACGTGTTGGCAGGACTAGGGATTTACAATGGTCTGAAACAATTACCTCAGTGTAGCACATATTCCACACATGGGACATACCTTAGTAATTTGCTTTATTAAGTTTCTGGTCTTAAAAAAAAAAAAAAAAAAAAAAA